CCACATCACAAACGACATCCAACAATTTACTTACTAAATTTCAGAGCTAATTTTATTTTTAGAAGACATGAAAAGTTTATGAATCCTAATAGATTTTTTTGCTGATACATTATCATTATGACATAATTTTCGGTCGTGTCATATGTACTTTCTACATTTCTTATATAATCAAGGAAATATATATTAAGCCAATTGTTTGTGTATATAGTGTATGTAAATGTACTACAGTACAATCGTGTCCAATAAAATCGTTGGTCATGACGTTTTCTGTACGTAAAAGGATTGCACTATGTTTGAACCATTTCTCATCATACAAGATACTGAAATGTTAGGTTTAGTCTCCTAAACCTACTTCTATATAATTTTATTTTAAACTAGAATAATAGAAAAACAAATATTTGTTTTGCCGTTAATGGTTTGTAAATAGCCTAATCAAATATTATTTGTGTCCAGTTTATTATTATGCTTTAGAAGGTACCACTTATTACTCAGAATTGTATTAACATACACCCAAAGGTCAGTAATTTGTTTTGTTTAATATTTCAACGAGTCTAATGTTATTTATTACCTAACTACCGGTATTTTGCCACCAAACAATAAAAAAGCAAATGTTTATGGCAAGTGCAATATGGTCGTCAATAAAACCATAGCCTTTAACAAACATTTATTACTGGTCTGAAGTGGAGGCAAAGAAGTCCTTGATTTTTATCCACAATTGACAGGAACATTATTTTACAGAACAGCCTTAGTTTCTTGAAACAGAATAAATTTTCAGAAGTGTATCGTTTGAGTATTGTATTTAATTCAAATGAGCTAAAATATATCTTTTTGTATGATTATTGTTGTGCAATGAAATAGACTGATTTCTATTTGTTCGCCTTTCGTCATTATCGCATACCTCCGGCCACTGGATTTAATCAAACTTTAATCATTGTTCTCCCCCCAAAATATCATGATTCAATTTAACACCCCAGGGTTCAAAACTTGTAGTTACATTGACCTACTTTTTTTCAATTTTTTTTACGTTTCGTGTTTGTGTAAAAATTAGCTACATGATTCTTTTTTTCAAATAAATCACATTACCTTTTTCATTATCAATTGCTTATTAGATTAGAATATTTTCATATAATATTATCAGCTAAAATGAATGATTGGACGATTTCTTATAATATAATGGTATTTCATCAGATTAATGAACTTTGTGATTTGAACACCGGATAGCAGCTAATCCGTATATCAATTAGTCCACTAGATTTATGGAGCAACATTAAGTTTACAATGAACTTGGGTATTGACCATCGATCGTTTATTGCATTTATTTCAGAATAAAGTTTATACTGTATAGAAACTGTAAGGTTTACAAAAAATTTCATATCCTAAATAACGAAGAGTGCATGTTGTATTCATATTGTGTAAAAGTAATTACATTTTTCTTAAATATTTTGAAATACTCTGGCAACGCCATCTACGTCATAATCGTATATCATCACAACATATACCATATACACGGTAAATATAATTTATTATTTGCTGATGAAAGATATATTGTGTGAAAACTACCATGTTCCTCTAAAATACATATGGCTATTGGCCAATTACCATTATCAAAGCACAGAGTTCATAATTAAGTGGAGAGGATGTGGGGAGAAACAAAAAAAAAAACAAAAAAAAAAAAACAAAACAAAAACAACAATATGATTAAATTAATCAAGAAAGTTTTTTTCTATTTTGTTTCCTGTCCGATGTCAAACGGATCGATCATTTCATGATAGAATATGATAAAAGGATGCTACCACGAGATTAATAAAAATGATTGTGCAAGAGCAACGTATAATTCTGCTTCTATGAATTTACAAAAAGTCCATCAACGCTCATTTGTCATCCGCGTGCATGAAAATGTTTTTATTCAAATGCTTTATTAAAAAATGGACTGAACTGTTCTTTTCTCTTTTTAAACATGTTATGTTTTGTTTGAACTGAAAATTTAATGACTGTAAAAATTACAGTGCGAATGGGTTAACTCTTCCAAATATGCATGTACGAGAGCTGATTGATTTATAAATTCGCGAAATTCTCCATTTAAATTTTTTTTTTGTACTCGTGTAAAAATTTTTCACTTTCGTTATTTAGTAGACGAACGGATATTTTATATTTAAGAAGTATATATGGTATTCATAGCAACCACGGTTTGGTGACATGAAGCACGCTGTTATTTCTCAAATTCATAATTTACATGTATTTTTCATACAAGTGTACTTTATGTGTTCAACTTCTCGCAAATTTGACGCAATTTAGTTGGCTTGGGATGATGACATCATTTCCAGAAAATTTGAAATGTTGTGTTAGGCGGTTATTTCGCAGAAAACTTTTCAAAGCGGTGCATGATGCCAATTACAAAATTATGGATAAATTAAAAACCTTACAAGAAGCGCGAGTTGTTTAAGGATAGTACACTTTACCTTGCAATGTTTGATGACAATAGTTCAGGTCAAACGACATCGCAAATCACCAGAAACACATCGTTAGTTCAGGAATTGTAAGATGATACCAGACGATGTACGGTGCGAGAAATTGCCCTGGCATTACATTGTCCAGCGTATTCTTACAGACGAATATTGGTACATATACAAAAAGGTGTGCGGCTATAGGTTCTCTTGTATATTTTTTCTTTCCTGCTTCTGTTATCATTTTAAGATTATTTGATAATTAAGCCCTGCAGACTCTAGTTTTAAAAGCGTCCTCCCTTTGCAGATGATAATACTCGACTAAAAATTGCATAAACCCTATATTGTTGTTTTAACAAATGATACTAGTATCGACGATGACAGTTTATGTCCGGCCAGAACAGTATATAATTTCTTAATGGTTCGTAGATTACTTTGAAGCACATATTCGAAACACTTTGCATTACTTTTCTTTATACGAATGTATCGATCTATATATGTGTACACATAGCCTGCACATATATTTTAGCATTGGTCTGAAAACATATAATATTGAAAGCATAAGCCACTGTTAAATGAGTATCTTAAAGAACATCGTAGATCTTACGGATGGTCCCCCTTGTGTTTAAACAAGCACAGACGGCATTTTGATCTCTTGAAAGAATATCGCTATACATACTATTTATTGGTACGGCTCAAAACTGATATTAAGATAAAAACATATCTACGGATGTCATTTTGGATGGCTCCAATCAAGGATGGAAACACATAAAAAGAAGCAAAATGGTGCTGATATATCTAAATCATAATTTCTTAGATTAGGCCGATTCTCTATGATTATCGAATTAGCCATATAACACTGTGCAAGTTAAAACTGAAATTCATATAACGAAAGTTACAAGGCTTTTATGGCTAACGGGGCTGTCTTCAGTGGTCAAAGGTAAGAGCATGGGCAACAAAAACAGAATATAGGACTTTGTAATTTGATTACGTTGATACAACCCAGCAGAAGTGACCAGCGTTTAATGTGTCTCTCAACACGGGAACGTGGGTTCGATTCTTACTAGGATGACGTCAATGTTCCGTCATATGACGTCAGTACTAATTTATTCAGATTAAGGACTTGAGGATATTTCGAATACGTTGTAAGCTGTCTCCACAATCAATCTTAAAGAAAAAATATTACAACTTAAATATTGGAAATCTTATGACCATGACTAAAATATAGCAACATTTTAACTTCAAAAGTAATTATCAAATTTGTGTTTTTTTCTATAATCTAAATTTAATTACTACGTGAAAATACGTATACCCCAATATAGCTACAGCTTAAAAAGTGATAAATCATCGGAAGTTCTAAAATAGATCAACATTGTCTTGTAAAGCTTTTTATTTCGAAAATGTTAATCCAAATTCTCTTAAAGATTGTCACGAACTGTACTAGATAATGTGCATAAGAAGCTTTTTTTGTTCATCTCGTTTCATTATCTGGGGTTTGGTGATTTTCCAAGTAGAGACATCGTTTAACTGATTTAAGATGCTCAAAAGGTTTTAGTTGTATCTTAAACATAAGCGGTGGGTAACATTTTTTTTTTGATATTGTTACGTTCTTTCTTGTCTTTAATGAAACTCAAAACTTGTTCCAAGGTGGGATATTCAGATGTATGAACATATGAACATCGTATATTGTAGGTACTGTATTAGACAATGTGTTAAAGAAGATTTTTACCAAGTTCTGGACTTCTATTAATAATCATTTACCTTTGTTTGTTTTTTTAAAACAATCATCAACTTATTATATAATCAGATGATAATATAAACAGCTAATCATATAACCAGGTATTTAGGTAATTATATTATAAGATTACCACACACTTGTATAAACAATCATGTAACCGAAAAATTAATCAGATAACATATAACAAGATAACAATATAATCAGAAATCATATAAGCAGATATCATATAATCATATAACCAGATGTTTAGGTAACATATTATAAGATTACAATACACTCGCATAAGCAAGTAGTCATGTTAACGAATAATCAATTAATCAGATAACATATAACCAGATAATTTTATAATGAGATAATCATGTAACCAGATAACCATATAACCAGACAATGATATAATCAGATAATCAAATAAACATATAATCAGATACAATATAACCAGATAATCATATAACAAGGTAATCATATAACCATATAAATATATAACCTGATAATCATATAATAAGATAATGATATAATCAGATAATTATATAATCAGATAGGATTCTTTTTCACATTAACAACACACTTATTTGAGGCTTACAATTGTATTTTATAACTGTTATGTAAACTTTAGTTCTCTATTTTTAAACATTAATAGCTATATGATGATAACAGATTTTCGCTTTGGGTTCTTTTGTATGAGCAAAACATATCAACCTGAAATATGTAAAAAACGATAATCAAGTTTTTGATATAGAAATCGTACTTTGTTTATAATCAAACAGATATATGTTATAGGAAATTTATATACGGTACTGACATAAAAAACAACACAGTGATATATTTGAGGCTAGCATTTTTATTTTGTTATTCGTATGGTATGTATTTTTTTGTTTTCTTATTATTTTTAAACTAAAAAACCCGAAACGAGGTTGAAATAAGCATGATAACGTACTCGTGAGAAAATCAAAAACAACAAAATAATGTGTGCAATTGGTGTTAAATTCCTTATTACATTTTTTTATTCTATACTCTCACAGGTTTTTAAACATCTCTGACCGGTCTTTAAACGTCTCTGACAAATGGCAATACAATCATTTATCTAACACTTTTGTTATTAATAGCAAAGGGTCAATATTTGTAAAAGGTAAATAGGCGTATAACACTGTATAATTGATGCATAATTGCATCTAATGATGATTGTTAAAAAAGTAATATTAGCACGTAATAATATTTGAATACACTTAGATATTACAAACACATTACTTAATAGATATCAAATAATGGTTTATCTTAGATTGATTCTAAAGTTTCTCCAAATAATTAATCTAATTGGATTTTATTTTGATGTGTTTGGTAGAATAATAATATATTTTCTATTCTTCAAATGAATATTGTTTCGATGATAAAAAAATGTATCAGGCTATCTAACACTGATTCAATATTGTCTTAAAAGATTGATTGTTTGAACAAGAAATGTTTTAATGCATTAATGAAGTTTCTAACATCAGATTACAACATCTGAGATCTAAATACAAATAATAAATTTTCCGTTTCAGTAATCGCTGCATCTGATATGATTCTTAAATTATTCATATTCATGACAAACTATCTGATGATATATTCTTATTATTCATAAAGTGATTTCTATTAAAAAGTTTATATGATGCGTTGTATTAACTGCTGATCATTTTGCAAACGAAAGATCTAAATGTTCCTTTTATTCCTTTAAAAGTTTATATAATGCGTTGTATTTAGTGCTGAACATTTTGCATATGATAGATCTAAATGTCATTTTTTATCCTTTCAGATCGAAAATTTATTATTGATATAATATGACTGTTTTGTTTTGCCTGACCCATGTCAGTTTGTGATGTACGACTTAATTTTTAGCCATATCTAAAGACTGGTCCACGTCCACTTCCAGATGAACCTCTATTTTCACCGGAACCTCCTGTTGGATTATAGCCAAGGGGTTGCCAGAAAACCTTTCTTTTAGCAAATCCTGTGAAAGCATCAGATGTCCGTTTAGATGGTTTATTATAAGGCATATTTGTGTTCGATAGGTATCCATCAACTATGTGTCGCTGCTCTAATCTGTTTAGATAACTTGTGAGAATTTTGCTTAACATTTTGTAGAATTGTCCATCTTCAGTTTGACTAATATCCGGTTTAGATATTTCGTCATAACTGATGTCATCCATGACGTTATTTGAATCCGGAACAAATGCCGCAAAGGCACTCAGACATAATAGCTGAGTAAATGCGAAAAGAAAAAGTACATGTACACTGCCTGGGAACATCATCTTTCAGCAATCCTGTGGAGTTTTCAAGGGCGTCAAGTTTCAGAACTTTAGACAGTTTAACCTGAAAATAGATAAAAAAATATATAAATATAACTGAATGTTTTAGATCGGACTGTAAAGAAAATAGCCATGTATGATTTTCATAACCCATAACAAAAGTTAGTTATTTCTGGTCACTATATTTTCCTAACATTTGTCTGTCTTAAGTGTACCCCTTAATACATTGATAATTAATCAAAGTTTTCTGATAATACGTTTTTGTAGTAAGTACTGAATGACACTTTATTAACAATTAAGATTATCATCATCATCATCATAATCATTATCACTATCACTATTATTATTATTATAATTATTATTTTTTATTATTATTATTATTATTTTTATTATTGTTGTTATTATTATTATTATTATTATTATTATTATTATTATTACGGAGGTTGATCCAGATATTAGTAGACTTTTAATTTAATGTATTTAATATACATTTGTATAAAGTAACCTAGATAATGCGCGAGTCTTCTATTTGCTTGATCACCCTCGTATTGCGAGGATTTCTCAATCAGCGGTGAGAGACAAATGACAATAAGATAAAGTGTCCAAAATCAATTGTCACGGCAAAATTCCGCCTTACCAAAGGATCGGACCTGTGGCACCTGGAATATAGAGCCGATGCTCTCCCTATTGTGCTTAGCGGGAGGACAAGTTTACTAACAGATGGCGAATTGAAATCATTGAAATTATTATCTTTATTTAAAAGACGGGTTGTAATCATGTTACTCGTTAATTGGTGTGTCACATTTCAGAAATTGAATTTCAAGATAAAAACCAATTGTCTGATGAAAACCAAGCCGATTTTAATACGTTCTAAATTTTGTGACATGCTATTAAACAATTTGTTAAGAATTCTATTGATTTCTTAATTTTTTCTGTTAGTATTTGTTTTCAACTCTTTAGATTTCGATCTGTAAACCAATTTGAACAAACTGTACAGAGAAATTTATCGACCATTAAGATTAATAGGTTGTTGAACCTGTTAAACAATCGAGAGAAAATACATATGTTTTAACCAATTATAGTTTAACAATATAAAAACGTATATTTACTATGCAAATATTGATGGCACTTGAAATGACGCAGACAAAATGCGTAAGACAGTTAAGTAAATTTATTCCTTTTTTACTTTCATATATTTATCCATTTTTTGCTGTAATTTGGTATTGAGTTTCCCACACATTCAAACATATTACTACGTTTTTCTTATATATTTTTTTCAACTATTTCAAATTTCAATTTATATATGCAATAGGCATTTGTCTATGTATGTTATTCAAAAGCTACAGAAAAGTTACTTTCTGCTCTAATATTGTAAATGTTATGCATATTTCTTTCCTCTACAAATGTATATGACGGGATGGCTATATGAAAACGGCCGAGTCTCTTAATTGCCCACATATGTATTCCTTCTGGAATTATAAAGGCAAGGTATCAAATGCATTAATAGTAGATATATTTGATGTAGCCAATTACCCCAACGCACATCCCCAAACAGAAGAGGAACGGTATCGTTTTCCTCTGAATATAGACGATAACTTAGTTAGTGACACAGATAATAACAATATGCTACATATAGTATCTAATATTTCTCTACTAAAGTTCCTGCTACTGTAGAAAATACGTTTTCGTGGGATAGCATAAATGTATCAGATTGAATGTTAATTATCAAATTTGATCCAATTTTTTTGTGTTTTTATTATTTTTTGAAAGCATTGAATTATACTTTTGTTAGGTACGCTAATAACTAGGTGCTACGTGAGCGATAACGATGATTTTAGCCTCAAATATCTTAACATTTTCTTAACCCTTTGCAATACAAACTATATGTTCAAAAGTCCAAAAAGTAAATTGAACTTAATATTTAAAATCTATAAATATGAATTTCCAACTTTCCAATGTCTCCAAATAAATTCAGTCTAAATTTTTGAAAAACAAAAACAACGACCCAAAACTATGTTTGTCAACACTGAAAAAAAATCATTTTTAATTTCCTTCCCTTGAATTTATTTCTGAATATCATATGAAAAAATGACGTGAACCGAGCCTTCAGGCTGACAGCATAGCTCCGACTTAGAAATTACTATCACGCAACAATTTGAAATCAATTAAAACAAGCTATGATGTTTGTGGATAAAATGTTCAATCAAAGCACAGTTGATTTACTTCTTAAAATAGAGAAGCTGATTTTCTTTTCTTACAGCGTAATACTCGTAGCTATTGTTTTTGCATCTTTATTGACAAGAGCCTTTTATTACACTTTATAAATCTAATTCGAATTCAAATAAATATTAGTTTCACTTTTGTCAAGCTCTATTTAAGCTTACAATTGTAACTATTTACCCATATACGATTGGCAATGTTCGTTTGGAAACTGTATTATATTTGATTTTATAACCATTGTATATGTCAACAAAAATATTTATAAACATTTAACATGGACTACATGTTACTCAGTAACTAACTAACAAACTAACTAACTTTCCAAATAAATTACTATTTTCTAACATTCAAACTGTTTTTGTAATGCCATTTTTAATTAAACATCAAAGAAAAAAGAAGTAAAAGTTTCATGGAGACTTTAGATGAAGCAAAACGTCAAAACTAATAGCCTATTGCATATTGTACAAAGTATATAATGACGTGTTTTGCACAATATTTTTTGTTGGATCGTTTGCGAGACCTGACGTTTTACAAACTCAATTTGAAGAGGACCTGATCAATTTAAACAGACCCAGATCAAGTTAGACAGGACTAGTTCAATTTAAACAGGACTAGTTCAATTTAAATATGACTTTTTCATTTTCAATAGGAATAGTTCAATTTAAACAGGACTTGTTCTATTCAAACATGACTAGTTCAATTAAAAAAAGACTTGTTCAATTTAAACAGGATTGTATAATGACAAAACGACATTTAGTTTGCATAATTTTACATAAAAAAATAGTTTTTTATTCGTTTTAAGATGTGCTATATTTTGTGCTTTTAAAAAGAAATTTGTTAGCATCTTATGCCGAAGACAGATGCACAGCTTTCGTTGAGAATTTATGTCACAAATAATCAAATCATGATTTACAAAAGGGACTGTAAAGTGGCTTTATTTATAGAAAATGAAAACCATAGAGTCTCCTGTTAGGAGACAATCTGAGAGATAGCACATCATCTCTAACAACAATCTGAGAAACGATCTAAAGAACACGAATCATTAGCAAACGATAATGACATTCACTTGTGTTCTTTGGTTATTGTAACATGTTAATAGACTTAAACTTTGCAATATTTAGAGCCGTTGATCTCTAAAAAAATAAATGTCATTAAACCTAATGAAAACACGTTTAAAGAGCTTATTCTTATCAAATGAAACATGTCTTTCCTACTCGGAAATACTGATTGTATCTTAATTTGTCAGGGAAGAAAAAGACGAGAAATCCTTGTCTAAGAAAGCCAACAAAGTTCTTGTTTTAAACTTTCTTAAAATATCGCAGGCGAAATTTTTATTTTAACAGGAAATGATCTGAATTTACAATTTTCACATTGTGTTGATTGTGTTGAAAGGCGTTCAAAAATCGGAACTTGATTTTATAGCAAAGACCATTGTTTGGAAATTTTGTATTTCCAATATCAATATATATCAAGAGCATATTTCTTATTCAAAGTAATAAAAAAACAGGATTCAAAAAGTTTTTTTTTTGGTGAACTATTAAAATTTTACATTGTATAATTGAAGTAATCTCTTATAATGGTCTTCATTGTTAAAGGTTAATTGTATGTTGATCATGTATCTAAACTTAGATTTTCTTCTATATAATATTTTAAATCTGTTTTCAAACACTTGAAAGATATACTATGCTAATCCTTGGGTTAAATTTTCAATCTCAGAAATTTAATGAAATCTATAAAATTCTTACTGAATATGTCTTATTTGAATAAAAGAATACATAAACTATGTATGGGAGACTGTGTTTCCTGTTACAGGCCTAGTAAAGTTGGTCCTTTCTTTAAAAAAATGCATTTTTTAATGACACTTTATGTTCATATTGTGACCACCTGCAGTGTGTAGAGTTTAAAACATAACTTATCTACTTTGTTTGAAGTCAAAACATGTTTATTTTATATTTACAAAGAGACTGAGTAGCAATTATCATTTTTTTCTAATACAATGTATCAAATTGGAGCTATATAGTATCCCTTTCAGAGGTTTAAAATTCTTATTTATGCAGTTTTATGACATCAGCTTAATTGAAGGTTTTTCTGTCATGTATCCATAATAACAAAATGAAATAGAAATAGAAACCATCACTTCCTATACATTCGAGGAAATAAAAACGGCACGGAAAAATCGTTTAAAATGGTAAGTCCACTGTAAAAAGACAACGTAATTATTCATAAGGATTACCAGATTTACTGCTTATATAACATGTTAAGACATATAAATATTATTGTTTTGACATAGCATTGCTTTTTCCCAAACAAAAAAATACATCAACAAATTATATCAAAATTGTGAATAAATCTGGAATAAATCATGTTTTCCTGATTTGTTAATACAATTCGTTCATGATTCATTAAATGAATCATAAATAAATTGTGCTTTTACTGGAAAGAAAAGACCCCATTTATTATAGATTCATTACAAAAGACAGATTTATTAACCATTGATTACAAACATAAGATATATTCAATACAATTTATTGCAAATTCATTACACTTGAACTGGAATGTATACAATTTATTCATGATTTATTGGAAATAGAACTTTTCCCGAATGCATTTAATACCATTTATTACAAATTCATTACACTTTAAAGTTCTGAGATATTCACAAGTTGTTCATGATTCATTAAAATCAGAGATTTTCCAGGATTTGTTCAATACAATTCATAACATATTCATTGTACTTCAGATGTTCATAATTTGCTTAATTATAACAGAATTTTCATTGATGTAGGTCCTTTTGTTTTACTGTTCATAACAACTAAACCCCTCTCAACTATACAAATATTTTTT